TGTGCTATTAACCGCTGTGTCACCCTGGTAGCAAGGTAACTTTGCTGCTAATTCTGTGAGAGCTGCCAAATGAGCCAAATGCAAAATGACAAGAAAATGTCAAGCTGTCATTTGACAGATTTGTTTACTTGGTCTTCAGGGCTTAGTTTCATGACGAAATCTCACAGGTTTCTCTATGCCTTGTCTCTGTCAGAGCTATGCCCACGGCTTCTTACTCATCAGCCTTGCTCTCTGCTTAGATCCAGTTAATCCTCCTCACTAATCTCCAGTCCCAAAATTAAGGCCCCTCTGTCCTCACTAGGCCAGGGGCTTTTCCTGCCCCTGACGACGTGAGATGTGAGCCCACTCTGGGGGCTCTGATCCCTGTTAAAAACCACAGCCGTAATTTTCCTCCAAGTCACACCCATATTTAAATAAATCTAATATACCTGTGATCCATGGGCAGTAGAGCCTTCCAAGTAGGGGGCTAACACAAGAAAGAATATTCTAGATGGAGGGCCACAGATCATGCCCCTCCTGCTGGCCTGGGCCCAGTGGTCCCCTTGAGGCCCACATACTGCTCTCTCAGGCTTGTGGCTCGCTCCAGGCTCCCACAGGAGCCTTTCTTTATAAACTTTGAGTGGAAAACATCAGTGGAAGCTTACGGAGGTCGAGAGGGGTGTCAGAAGGCCAAGGAGGACGTCAACAAGGAGTGGATCCTATTTCACCCTTATTCCTACCCAGGCCCAGCTGTCCCAAGCCTCTGTCCTCTGGCTGTGCAGCTGCGGCAGCCACGACCTTCACCATTCAACCCTGGGAACACAGACAGGGCTCAGACACTGCCCTTCCTTCTGCGGCGGAGAAGGACTGAGACAGGAGCGCTTTCTAAGAACGAGGGTTAACTCAGGGCCTGACGTGTGTCCCAGTCACTTTGTGTCAACGGATGCAGGTGGAGATGGGGGATGCATGTGAGTTAACCCGCAGGATGCCTTGAAGTCACAGGACATGAGAGGAAAGCAGAGCATTCCCCACAGAGGGAACGGCCTGGGCAAAGACACACATGGCATCTTCCACAAACCAAGACAGTCCTGAGGCTGGGAAGGCTGGTAGAGACAGTAGGAGAGCAGAGAGAGGGTGGCCGGGCCAGACCACAAGGGGCTTTTCACTTCCGGACAAGACAAGCTTTCTCCTTTTTGCAGAGAAGCCTTTGGGGGATTTTTGATGGTGAAAGAACCAGGCAAATGTGCTGCCTAGAAGGATGACTGGTGGGCATGCAGGGGTGGATCCTAAGGAGAAACTGGAGGCAGAGAGAAAAGGTAGAAGCAGTTGCCGTGGACCACACCGAGCAAGGTGGGGCTCAGACAGCCCCGGACTAGGGGGAAAAGGGGCAGAGCCGAGAGACTTTCAGGAGGTAAAAGAAAGAGAGCTTGGTGATCATTTGACAAGGAAATCAGAGACAAGGGACAGTAACAGAGAGACAGACAGTTCTAGACTGCCCTCGAGCTTCAGACCTCATAGTAGGGGGTGTTGGGAACATGAACCATCAAGACCAGCAGAGAAAAGAAAGATTTGGGAAGATGAGCAGTTCTTCCCGTGCCATGCTCTGCTGCACACGGACAGGCTGGTGGGTGGTTGAGGGGGTGGTGGTGCTGGGGCGGGAGAGGGAGCATCCAATCATTTTCCCCTGACCCCTATCCAACACCACTTTTCTAATCCTGGAGAATCCGTGAGAGGCGATGTCTCACAGGAAGATGACAGGAAAGAAATTTGTAGGGTGGAACTGGAAGCAAAAGAGAATTAAACATGTATCCTGGCATGCCTCTTCACCCAGGTGGAAGCATTGTCCCACTAAATCTCTGTCTGAGTATAACACCTGGGATGTCTGGGAAGTGGTCCCCATCTGCTCTGGGATGCTGCCGTCTATTCCTCCTCAGCTCTTCTGTGCCACCCCCATGTCAGCCACTAGATGGCACCAGACTCCACTAGCTGAGAAGGAAACCTAGCGCATTTATGCAGTCCTTTCCCACTCTGCAACCCCATGGACTGTAGCCTGCCTGGCTCCTCTGTCCATAGGATTTTCCAGGCAAGAATACTGGAGTAGGTTGCCACTTCCTTCTCCAGCGAATATCCCTGACCCAGGATCAAATCCGCATCTCTTTCGTCATCTGCATTGCTAGGAGGATTCTTTACCACTGCATCACCTGGGATTTGGGCAAATATGGGGCGGTCAGGTTGTCACTGAAGGGACCCACATCTTGAAGGGCTGTCCATTTCACCTAATTCTAATTTAATTTAATTCTTCTAGAATACGTTTTTATTGTGGGTATATTATTCTTATAAGTTGGTTCTTTTAATAACTCTATTTATGAAGAAAGTGAAAGTGTTAGTCACTTAGTCGTGTCTGACTCTCTGTGACCCCATAGACTGTAGCCCAACCAGGCTTCTCTATCCATGGAATTCTCCAGGCCAGAATACTGGAGTGGGGTTGCCATTTCCTTCTCCAGGGGATCTTACCAACCCAGGGATTGAACCCAGGTCTCCTGCATTGCAGGTAGATTCTTTACTGTCTGAGCCACCAGTATATATATAAAGAATTCTTTACTCTACTATGTAAATATACTTTCCTTGGGCTTCCCTGATGGTTCAATGGTAAAGAATCAACCTGCCAAGACAGGAGACGAGGGTTCTATCCCTGGGTTGGAAAGATCTCCTGGAGAAGGAAATGGCAACCCACTCCATTATTCGTGCCTGAAAAATCCTGTGGACAGAGGAGCCTGGTGGGCTACAGTCCGTGGGGTCACAAAAGAATCAGATACAGCTGAGCGACCGAACAACATACTTTTCCTTAGCTCCCCTAGCCTCTCCTGTGATCTCTCAATCTTCAGGGGGAAAAAGGAGCAGGGAACTGGGGCAAAGACCAATTATCAATTCCTTAAAATTCTGATATAAAAAGTGAGAATCAGTCATGTTAGATCAAAAGGATGGTTTGGCCCATCGACAGGTCTGCAGATCAGCCAGCTCCCATGGGAATGGAGAGGCAGTTGCAGGCGGCATGTCACCAGCCACAGGGCCCCTCGTGTCAGCAGCCACCCCGCATCTCTGCTCCATCACACTGATTCCTGCAGTGATGCCCCACCCAGGTCAGCTCTGCTTACAGAGGACGACTGGCTGGGAAAACCCCCCACACAGCATGACCTGGCAGCAGCAGGCGGTTCCTGGAGATCAAGGGACAGGATGGGCAAAGTGGATTCCTGGACATGGAAAGGAACTCTACATCCAGTACCTGAGCCTGAAAGTCAGGGGCCAGGAGACTCGAGGGCTGCAAGAAGGGGGCAGGTGTGCAGAGCAAGCACCAGTGTCTGTCAATGGAGCCAAAATCAAAGAGCAAGCCCTGTGTGGGGCCCAGGCCCAGCCTGGGTGGGCCCTGCAGTAAAGCCTGTCCTGAGCATGGCCTGAGCAGGGTTATGACAGGGTTAAGGGCAAGGAAAGGAGGGCAGGACCCCAAGACTCAGAAACCAGTCTCCTTGGAGGCTTCTGAGAGGCAGAGGATACGACATACTTTTCATCTTATATTTTGCACTTTCCTAGACTAAGAACTGAGGTGAGGAAGGTACATAGGGCTCGCACTTAGGAGATACTCCAGTCCCTGGTTCAGATGCAGGCTCAGGGCCTCACCAGCCCGACCCTGAAGCAGACTTTCTCACCCACACGCGGTGACCTGGTGGCATCGACTATTTGACACTCAACAGAAGGGACTAAAGGGCTCAGCTCACAAGGCCTCCTGCCTCCAACCCAGACACCCATTTGAGCCACACCCTCCTCATCACCTAGTGCCCACTGAGCTGCCTCAAACCCTTCATGCAAACAGACCCTGTATCTACTTTCTCCAAAACATTGCCCCAGAGAGAAGGAGGGATTCCAGTCACATCCCTCTCCTACCTGGACACAGCCCGGCCCTGCCCCCTCCCCATATCCCCAGGTACGGCAGGAACACACGGCCACTTGACCCTTATTCATGCTTTTATTCTGGAACCAGTAGTCAGTGCGAATGGCTACCGGCATCACCACGCCTGGGCGAGCCTTGGGCAGGGTCCAGATGGGAGGTGCTGAGGGGGACTGGGATTGTACATGAGATGGAGGCCAGCGGTGTGACACCCCGACAAACTGCTCTGAACTTCAGCAGCCCTCAGTCTCTAGAGAAGGTACCGTATTTATAATAGACGTGGGGCACACACAGCCTGGTCATGGTCCTGGGTCACGGTCCCCTTCTGTGTCCAAAATCAGTGGCCCGCCAGCTACCCCCCATCCCTCCTCCAGCTGAGCAGAGGCCAGGGGCTTCCTCAGAGTCACACAGAGACCTGCTCTTGACCCTTGGAAAGAGACTATTGAAGGGAACTCACTCACTGCCTCATGAACCACCACTGTCTGCCTTTCACGAGGAGGCAGCAGGATCGGGGGCTTCACTGTGAACTGGTAACATGTGCTGGGAGGGGCATGGGAGGCCTGCAGTTCTGACCCAGCGGGCTGGCCGCAGGCTGAACCCACAGCAGCTGTGTGGAGGCCAACTGATGTCTTGGGGCCCCACACTTTCCACAAGGTCACTGATGCAGGCAGAAGTGCACGTGCCGGAGGCGGGCGGCAGGGCCCAGGGAGGACAGTTCACCTGTGGGGGATGAAGGACAGGGCAGGAAGAGACACAAGGAAGGAGTACATCCCTGTCACTCACCGCCCCTGAGGCGGCCTGAGCCGTTCACACGGGCTTCCTCCAGGACCACGGCCACCAGCCAGGATCCTACAGGCTGGCCGGGCAGGCCGTGAAACCCTGTGACGGGTGTCTGCTTCAGTGCACATATGTGGGCAGGGGAGCAGGGGCCTAGGTCAGCAGTGCAGGCAGTGGGACAGCCGAGGGGATGCAGGGCTGGGCCATTCAGCAGAAATAAAAGTCCAAGGGAGACCACCCCAGGCTGTGCTCAGAAAGAGGCCCGGCACCCCCGGTGGGTGTGCTGAGACCAGACACACTCCTAGAAGTTGATGTTCTTCAGGTTGGTGGAGCAACGGTACCTGCCGTCCAGGCCACGGGAACATAGCAGGTTGGGCAGGCAGGGGCAGGTGTGGTGCTGCCGTTTTCTGAAGAAGGGGACCTGCGGGGAGAGAGGAGGGTAGACGTCACCTTCACCAAAGGGAGGCAGGCCCCCGGGGGGTGAGCCTCTGGCCAGCCCAGCCCTGGCTGAAATGTCTAATTACCTGCACCCCAGCACCACAATAATGGCTTTTATAGAGGAGGAAACTGAGGCACAGAGAGGTTAAGTAACATGCCAAGGTCACACAGCCAGCTTGTGGAGGAGCCAGGATTTGACCTCAGGCAATCTAGCTCTGACACTGTGATGAGCCACTATGCAATGTGGCCCACCCGCCTATCCCCCAAACTCCACGAGCCCCCACACCACCCACCGCCCCTCCCACCCCACTGACCCAGCACACCCACTCTCTCACAAATTCACACCCACACCGGTGATTGAATATCACTTGTAGCTCATCCATTACACTCTCCACCCTGTGTGGGTGTCGGGGATGTAGCTGCTGGCTGACTCACAGCCACAGGAAGGCTGAGCCGCTGAGGGTTCCTCAAGGAGGGTGAGTAGGAGGGGTTAGGAGCATAGATAAGTCCGACAGCCTGGGCTCAAATTAAGTCTGCCGATTCCCAGCTGTGTGACAACTGGCAAGTTATTTAGCCTCTCTGTGTTTCAATTTATTATCCGTAAAAGGAGTTAATAATAATGGCTACCACATATGGTTGTAAATAGGTTTACATGATAAACTTAAAGAGGTTTAAACTTGCAAAAACATCACTGAGTATGAAGGTTGGCACGTGGTAAGCAGTCGGTGTATTACCTCTGCTGCCCGCTTTGGGAATACCCCAAGGCTACAAGGACTGTGCCCTGTCTCCCTCCCCGCCTCAGCCTCCTCACGCCTAGGAGGGCTGTGCCAGAGAGGATCACGGTTGGAGGATGCTCCAGGGTGCAGGCGTGCTCCCCAGAGGGGCTGGCAGGGCATCTTGGCCACAGAAAGCCCAGGGAAGGGAGCGCAAGCCCACAGGTGCTGCTGCATCCACCTGACAATCAGAAAAAAAGGCCGTGGGGCCGTTCAGTGGCCTCTGAGCTGGGAGCTCCTAAGGAAGCAGAGTGGGTGCTGCATGCCTAGGGCACAGAGGAGTGAGTCTCCTTAAAGTGTGTGCCCTGGGGGCCCGGCCAACCTCACCCTGCACACCCCTCATACTCAGGCTCTGGGTGGGAGCCTATTTTGCAGTCTTACTGCGTTGTGTTCTTGAGGGAAGGATGTGGGTGTGTTTGTGTGTGCATGCACAGTCACTCAGTCATGTCAAACACCTTGCCACCCCATGGCTTGTAGCCTGCCATTCTCCTCTGTCCATGGGATTCCCCACGCAAGAATACTGGAGTGGGTCGCCATTCCCTTCTCCAGAGGATCTTCCCAACCCAGGGATCAAACCTATATCTCCTTCATCTCCTGCATTGCAGGCGGATTCTTCACCACTGAGCCACCTGGGAAGTCCCAAGGGAAGAACCCTGTGCAGTAAAGGGCATTCAGGAGACTCAGAATTTCACTTTATCAGATCAGAAACTTTAGGGGTGTCGGTCTACTCCCCCCTTTGTATGCATGAGGTATCTGAGACCCGGGCCTTCAGCAAATGCGGAACTGGGGTTCCAGCCTCCAGGTCTAACAGGCTGTGTGATTAGGACCCCACTGCACCCCAACCGCCCCCAAAGTAAGAAGGTGGCGAGAAATTCCTAGATTGGAGTCAGAACACTGGTCCAGCGCCTTGTGCCTTGAGCAGTACCTTGTGGCTGCTGGGGTGGCACTCCTCTCCTGCCCGCCCCAGCGGGGTGCACACCCGCAGCCCACGCAGCCACAGGCTGACCGCACAGCAGGTGCCCGCCCTGCACTGGAAATCCCTCTCGCAGGCCTGCGGGGGGAAGACAAAGGGGCCATTAGTGCCTGTGAGCATCACCCCAGAGAAACTGGAAGAGAGAGTACATCCCAAAACCCTTCAGAGGGGTGCTGGGAGCGGTACCCAGGCCTCAGTCCCCCGGGACACCCAGGGCCGTGCAGGGCCACCCCTGCTCCTGTCGAGGCAGGAAGCTCAGGGCTCAGCAGGGCAGCAGAACTGGATCTGAGAACCCCCTGAGATCCTCTGGGGCCACTCGGTGGGGAGGCTCTCCTCTGACAAGGCTAGAGCTTAGGAGACAGAGCTTTTCTAGCACCAGGAGATGCTCAGTGGGTGCTAAGGAGATTGAGTTAACTCCAATTCTTCCGGGGAAGGGTCCCAGTGGCCTGCAGCCCAGGGTGGTCCGTGTCAAGTTTCTTGGACAGAGACCCTCCAGCCCCCACCCAGCAGTACTCGGGGCGGTGCCTCTCCCTCCCACCGTGGCCCCCTCAGTCCTCCCTGGAAACCCAGTCTCATCTGAGGGGCCGGCACCCCCAACAGGTGTTTCCCCCCAGGGCGTCTCTGCTGGCCTGCCTGGCCCCTATGTGACAATTGTAAAGTTATTTAGCCTCTCTGTGCCTCAGTTTATTACCAGTGAAACGGGTTAATAATAGTAACTCCTCTAGGATGGAGATGGACTCCTCCGGGCTGTGCTCCCAGAGCGGGGGCTGAGTGCTTCTGCCTGGTTTCTAAAAGGTGCCATCTATGTGTGTTTTAGTCGTTCAGTCATGTCTAACTCTCTGCGACCCCATGGACTGTAGACCGCCAGGCTCTTCTGTCCATGGAATTCTCCAGGCAAGAGTACTGGAGTCGGTTGCCTTTCCCATCTTCAGAGGATCTTTCCAACCCAGGGACTGAACCCGGGTCTCCCGAACTGCAGGAAGATTCTTTTCCATCTGAACCACCAGGGAAGACCCACACAAACCTGCTTTAAGTAAAAGCCTACATGAAGGAAAACAGAACTAAACTGCTCCAGACTCAGGAGAGGCCACCCTGCTGAAGCACCCCACCTTCCCACTTCAGAGATCAGCGGCTTCTCTGAGCTGAAGCTGGGAGCTGGGTTTGGGTTGGCCCTTCTCCATTGGGCTTCCCTTGTTGCTCAGCTGGTAAAGAATCCGCCTGCAATGGGGGAGACTGGGTTCAATCCCTGAACTGGGAAGATCCCCCTGGAGAAGAGAAAGGCTACCCACTCCAGTATTCTGGCCTGGAGAATTCCATGGACCATATAGTCCATGGAGTCGCAAAGAGTCAGACACGACCGAGCAACTTTCACTTCACTTCTCCGTTGGGCCATGGGGTGCCCTCTGGCTGCCCTATGGGGCACTGCAGTAAAGTGGGGAACGCTGGGGCTGCTCGACCCTCAGAGGGGGTGCAGGGGGCAGTCACCCGGTCTCCAACCTAGTGAGGGCACGTCTCACACACCAGCTGGTCCCTGAAAGCTCAGGGTCAAGGCTGAGGGGACTCCACCTGGCTCTTCTGCCACAGAGGTGTGGCATCACTGTCCCCCTCCGGGAGGAGAGACCCTCCAGGACTGAATCTGGGACAGTCACGGTCTAGGGAGCAGGGCCCTGTGGGACGGTAGAGCCCAGCCTCTTCCTGAGAGTCAGACTGGGCCGCAGCAGGGCTCGGAGTGTGGAGGGAGCAGTTCTAACTTCTCTGACTACTCGGTCAGGTCTGCTGTGTGTCTTCTGTTTTCCCAAGGGTCACCTTGGAGGCTCTTCTGGGAAGACATTTTCCCATCTCTAAGCCCTCCCTCCTGGCAGACCTGCCTCTGGGCCAGACTCGGGGTCAACCTGCTGCCTGGCTGGGTAACCATGGCTTCTACCCTCTGCTCTCAGCCTCCCAATCTTCAAGCTGCACAATAGGAAGGCAGCTTTCAGTAGTTTACATTCATTAAGTACAGTTCTGTCCTGACAGTTGTATTTATGCTTTGGGTCCCAAAAGCACTGGCTTGCCTTTGATGTTGGTTCTGCTTTGAAACTCAGTCTTTTTCCTCTAAAAAGGAGAAGAAAGAGATTTTGCTTTCTGTGAACATTACAGTTAATCCAGTTCCAGGAACGGTTTGACCTTCTCTACATTTCCATTTTCTGTGTAAAAAGCTGGAGGAAGTTGAAACAAAACTGAATGTCCCTCTTTTTTTGTTGTTGTTCTAGTGGGTTTTTTATCTAGAAAGCTCCCAGATCAGTCATTACTTTCTGTTTTCATAAGAATGGTCCCATCACCATCACACAACCTGTGCCCATGAGAGGGTGAGTCCAGATGAAGTCAATGTTCTGAGGGAGAACCACTATTGGGGTGTCTTGAACACTACAATGTGCCTACCTGGGTGCACCCACAGTGGGACTGGATTTCTACTTGTTATCTGACACTTGTTTCTGGGTCACTTAGACAATTGTTGGCGTCACCCTTATTCCAATCAACTGGGCACAGAGTCAAAACATATAAACTGCATGGGAAAGAAAGAGTTTCAAGATTGGCTTTCTTAAGAGTAGAAAAACATTAAACATACCCAACAGAAGCTAAATAAGGTCACAGCCTTTAATTAAGTCAACTTGCTATGTAAATTACACTTGACATGTGAACCAAACCATGCATGAAAACTAAAATTTACACAAAAGATAGATTAGGGAGTGCTAATCCACTTTACAAAAGATCCATTATTACTCAAAAATCTTCCTTTGACCAAAGATCCAAACTTCAGAATTTGCAATGCTCTCCTCATTTATTGAAAGCAGAATTTGATTTACACAGTTTCTCTGAAGCAGATCCCCTTTATCGAGGTCTAACTAATAGGAGAACCCTGTGAGATGCCTCTCAGAAGTGTGGTCTGGGGCTGGCTCCCATGCTCTTGGTTTGTCTCCTGTGTGGTTCCTGGGTCCTGTCCCATGCAGACCCTGACATCCTCCCCAAACCCAGGGCAGAGAGAATGTTGGATGACTTACCCCAGTGATCACCGCACAGTCAGACACGGTCACCAAGAGGAGTATCACTGAGACTTGCGTGGCACCTCTCATGGTCACTTGGGGTGAAGGCAACCACTGCCAGCGCCGCTGCCTCTGCTCCACCTCAAACCTGCCAGCTCGGAAGGCCAGGCTCTCCCCTGAGATTTATAGCGTCCGATCCAGGCTGCCTGTGGATGCCTTGTCTCCACTCTTGCCCATCGCACTGTTATTCAGATGATCTCAGAGATGGAGATGAGACCTGAATCCCTAATGACATTGAATCACCATCAAAACCAATAAAGATGAACCGTTGGTGGCAGTGACAGTCGCTCTGACTCTCAGGACGCAGTGATCCACGCATCGCACTGCACAGTCCTTGTCGCCTCTGGGGCATCCTTCTATTCTGCTTGGGGCCAGGGGAAGGCTTTGGTAATAAATCAAGGGATTTGCAACATCACCATTCACCCCTCCCTGCTACCAAACCCAGGATCATCGGCTCCTTCACACTCAAGCCAACAAGAATGATCTGGGCACTTCCTGTCGGCTCAGCACAGGGTGAGGGGCTGAGAGGACATAGTGAGAAGGCAGTGTCCTTGGTCCCCTAGAATAAGGGTCCCCAACCTCCAGGATCTAATGCTTGATGATCTGAGGTGGGGCTGATGTAATAATAATAGAAATAAAGTGCACAGTAAGTGTAATGTACTTGAAATCATCCCAAAACCATCCCCCCAACATGGTCCTGGTCCATGGAAAAATTATCTTCCATGAAACTGGTCTCTGGCGCCAAAAAGCTTGGGGACCGCTGCCCTAGAAGGTTAAAATGCCAATAGGGAGACATAAGAGTGAGAAAACAAAACCAGGATTGTGGGGTTGATGCTCCTGAGAAGTTCATAAGGAGCATCCTTATGAGGAGCATGTCCTCTAAGAGGCTCTGGACAAACACCAAGTGTCACTTGGCTCAGGAACCAGAGGGCAGAGGATGAGCCAGTTGACAGGTCCCTGAGGAAAAGCGTGCTTGAGCTGGGTTGCAGCTAAATGTATCAGGAGCCCTGTGCCTTCCTGTTCTACGGGTTGAGCTTGACCTTATCCAGGGGCTAACAAACATGATGGGCTTGGACACCAGTCTTAGGGAAGGTGAATCTGGTCACGGCCCCTCCTACCAACTGATCCAAAGTCCTCCCAGGACCTTTTATCAGACAATCCCCACAGTGATAAAGGTCCCTTCTGTTCACAGGGATAAAAGCCATTATTTCCCAAGAAATGTCCTCCGTTCAGGTCAATCGCTCAGTGGTGTCCGACTCTTTGTGACCCCATGAACCGCAGCACACCAGGCCTCCCTGTCCATCACCAACTCCCAGAGTCCACCCAAACCCATGTCCATTGAGTCGGTGATGCCATCCAATCATCTCAGCCTCTGTCGTCCCCTTCTCCTCCCACCCTCAATCTTTCCCAGGATCAGGGTCTTTTCAGATGAGTCAACTCTCCGTCCGGCAATATGTTAATAGGTGTTACATGCATACAAATACTTACATATGAGATTTCCACAGTCGAAGCTTTGGGAAACTGATTACACAGTTCCACCAGCTTTTTTTTTTACCGCAGGACTTTCAGGGCCTTTCATATATTAGTAAGCACTTGGAACACCAAGCAGGGAAATGCAATTTGTAATTATTTCCTAAACAGATTAATCCATCAAACACTTTTTTTCTTAGAGTGTCTCAAGGGAATGTGACTCCCAGGTAGACTCGTTGACCAGCATTTATGAGTGAGAGAGTGGGGAACTGAACAGCAGCTCAGCTTCACAACCCAGAGCAGAGTGCGAATCTAGATCTAGCCTCAGTCTCTTCTCATCTGTAACATGAGGGTGAGAATAGCACTTATGGGCTTCTGTGTGTATTCATCCATTTATTTATGTATTCACTGACTACATATTTAGTCACAACTACTGTATTGAAGGGCTCAGATGGTAAAGAGCCTGCCTGCAATGTGGGAGACCTGAGTCTGATCCCTGGAGAAGGAAATGGCAACCCACTCCAGTATTCTTGCCTGGAAAATCCCACGGATGGTGGAGCCTCAGGTGCAACAGTCCATGGGCTCACAAAGAGTCGGACATGACTGAATGACTTCACTTTCACTTTCTTTTCACTATATTGAAGGCACTATTTTTGGCGCTGGAAATAGACCAATGAGCAAAACAAGATCCTTGCCCTCATGTGGGGGAGACAGATAATAGACAAATAAACAAATAGATTTATAGTAAAATGGCTAGGGGTGCCAAGTGGTATTAAAAAGGAAGACAGAGGGACACCCCTGGTGGTCCAGTGGCTAAGACTCTAATCTCTCAATGCTGGGGCCTTGGGTTTGATCCCTGGTTGGGGAACTAGATCCCACATGCCACAACGCAGACCATGTGCAGCCAAACAAATAAATAAAAATAAATATCTAAAATAAAAAAATAAAAAGGAAGACAGAGAGGACAACAGAGCATGACAAGGCATGGTGCTTTAGATGGGGTGAGGGTCCCTCCGAGAAGACACTTAAGAACCCTGATGAAGTGAAAGAATGCCCTGGGCAGAGCCTGGGAGGGAGGAAGCAGGGCAGAGGCCCTGTGATAGGGCCTTCTTGGCTAGTTCCAGGAGCAATGAGGGAGGAGAACAGGGGAAGGGAGAGGGAGGGATGCTGATGGAGCTGGAGCGGGGACCACACCCTACCAACCTTGCAGGGCATGGTGCAGGCCTGACAGCAAGGGTGATGGGCACCCTTGGAGTGCTTGGAGCAGAGGAGGGGCAGGATGTGATTTACACTTTGAAGGATCTCTCTGGTGGTTTGTGGAAAATTAAGAGAGATGCTGCTGCTGAAGTGCTCAGCATGAAGCCTAGCACACAGCAGCACTTGCAACTATTGCCATTTTCTATCATTAAAAAGATGGGCCTATGGGGAGAAGGGATAGTTAGGGAGTTTGGGATGGACATGTACATACTGCTATATTTAAAATGGATAACCACCAACAAGGACCTACTGTACACCACAGGGAATTCTGTTCAATGTTACATGGCAGCCTAGACAGGAAGGGAGTTTGTACGAGAATGGATAGATTTATATGTATGGCTGGATCCCTGCTCTGTTCACCTTTTTTTAGTTGGCTACATTACAATACAAAATAAAAGTTAAAAAAAAATTAGATGGGCCTGAGTGGGGGACAAGAGGGAAGGATTGGGAGTTTGGGATTATCAGAGGCAAATTTTTATATATATAATGGATAAACAATAAGGTCACACTGTATAGCATGGAGAACTTGTATTCAATATCCTGTAATAAACCATAATGGAAAAGAATATTGCATAACTGAATCACTTTGCTGGACAGAAGAAATGAACACAACATTGTTAATCAACTATACTTCAATTAAATTTTTAAAACTGATGGGCCTGTCTGCCTTCATGTAAAATTCTCCTTCCAGGTAAGAATCAAAATAATATGGTTATGGCCCATCTGTGCACCATGGCACTGAGCCAGACACACCACAGGAGAACCAAGAGACCACCACCTGTCAGTAACTTACAGGGGGGGAAGGTGGCATTGTGCCGGGTGTTGGGAGGGGCACAGAGGTGGGCAGGCCTGTGTGCTTCAGGTGCCCTGCACAGACTGCCAGCCTCACATAGGTCACTTTGCAAGAGACGATGTTAGCTAACAGCAATCTCAGGCGAGCACCCACCTTCTGCCCTCATCCCCCATTCTCACCCCCTCCCTCACTCTCAACAACACACAACTAATTATCGCACACAGTGGCGTGAAGAATGGTACTGAGCAATGCTGCTGCAAACAGGACCAATAACAGCAATTGAAAGCATTTTATTTCTCTTGGATACTGGTGCTTGAGGACAAGCCAGGTAGAGGGAGGCAAGGGATCGACAGCAAGTTGGTGGAAATACCAAAGGAGACGCTAGGGAGCCTTGGGGTTCTTGACTCAATAACTCCCGTCAGCAGATGTTCACACAGAGCCTCCCACGTGTCAGGGTCAGGGTTCACGGCTGTCAGGTCCGCCTGCTCTCCAGTTCCTGCCCACAGGTGGATTTCAGCAGTGTCCTCCCAGCACCCAGCACAATGCCACCTTCTCCCTCTCTCTGCGGTAGTGCTGTGGGGCGGATGTCATCCTTTTACAGGACTATTTATATAGCCGGTGTGTGTGCCTGTGTGGTAAGCACAACCATTCACTCAGGCATAGGTACGCCCTGGGACAGAGGCACAGGCCCAGGAAGCCTGACTTGACACAGTCCCCGAGGTCATTTACCCTCATACGTGGGATAACTTGGACTCCTAGGGGGTCTGAGGCAACCCCTTCCAGCTCTACCATGAGGCCATTGCTCTACAAACTAGAAAGGGAGTGCATGTCCACAGGCCACACAGCTCCTGCCTGTGACATGGGTGATCACTTTATTAGTGGTTCATTAGTGGCTAATGATTAAACGAAAGCTGCCTCTGACCCACTTAAGAGAGATGCGAAGAAAGGAAGGAGCAACCAGGGACCTCCCCTGTCGTCCAGTGGTTAAGACTCTGTTCTTCACAGCAGGAAGCATGGGTTCCATCCATGGTCAGGAAATTAAGATCTCACATGCCCTACAGTGCAGCCAAAAAAGAAAGAAAGAAGCAATAAAACGATGGAAACCCACACATCCAAACCAGCAGTTCTTAACCTAGGATCACAGCTCCCCACCTGGTTCATGAACAGAATTCAGAAGATCCATGAACTTGGGCAGAGAAAACAATTGCATCCTGTTATCACTCACTGCTAAGTGAATTATAACATTCTTCTCTTCTATCCATAGGCCACAAACATGGAAGTATTAATCATACCTGGGTCCTTGTCACCAAGAGAAATTAGAGCTTTTTTAATACCATATTGTTATTGTTGCAAATAGCTCAAAATATTTCTGTTCATCACTACATTGAAACTACAGTAGTTCTTAGTCCAGGCCATGTTATTTGATCAATGGACATGAGTTTGAGCAAACTCCGGGAGATGGTGAAGGACAGGGAGGCCTGGCATGCTGCAGTCCATAAGGTTGCAAAGA